GGGGGGTGCGGGGGCGGGGCGAGACCTCACAGGCACCAGCTTCGGGCGCAGCGACGCCTCGCCGGCCGGCCCACTGGTAGCGGCGCCGGAGGGGGCGTTGGTGGAGAAGCCCCCGGCCGGATCGAGGGTTGGCGGGGATCTGGCAGGGGAAGGAGGACGAGGCCGCCCCGCCGTCACCATCCTCGGGCGTGGCACGGCTTCGCCGGCCGGCCCTCCGGCAATGGCGTAGCGGGGCGCGGTGGTGGAGGTGGCCTTCGAGCGGCGGCGAGGTCTTTCCCCCGTGTCGCCAGACGCGGGCGACGCGGGGGACGCTTCTTCCGTTTCAAAAAGAGGTCATTGTCTCAATAAAAAATTAAAAGAGGTCAAAATGCCCTACAAACGACAAAACATCCTAAAAAACCAAAACAGTCCCAAACAATGCTAAAAGGGCCGTGAGCCAAGTGTCGTGCCGGTCGGGACCGTGAACAAGAGGGTTGTGTCGGGCTAGCCTTAAGGCTTGGCTTTGGGGACCGGCCTTGTTCCATGGCGGGCCCAAGGCCGACCTGACCTTTTTATTCACGTGTTGTGTTGGGCTTGTGCTGGGCTAAAAATCATAGCCCGCGGTCCAGCCTTAAAAGCACAAACTACATGGCTAGGTTTGCACTGCCTTATTACTCTTCTCTTTTTACAATCACATACCACAAACAAATTATTTGTATTTACCAAAATATACATGTAACTGGTTCTACAACTCTATACTGTTACCAAAATAATTTTCAGTCACAAGTACATTTGATTCCAATGTACATTAGATTCTTACTAACAAACGTGTGGGTCTTGGGATCAATAGTTTTTCGAGCGGTGTAGGTTCTTCTCTAGGACGATCCTTGTGATGTCGTCAACCACTTCATCTCCTTAAGGAATCCTAGCATGCAACCTTTTTATGGAAGAGAGGCTAAATGAATGCCAATCAGGAGCATGTGCTATCCCCAAATCTCCAGACGTAACACTAGGCATCAGATCTGGGTTTGGACTTGGTGCATTGGGGGTATTCCACCTCTTTGTCC